AAGTCCAAACGCCTTCCATTCATCCTTCTGGTTTCATTACCCCGGCTGTGTTGTGCAGCAGGTTGATGGGAGGGGTCTTGACACCGACTCAAATCGCCATAACCGAGTACTGGACCGCCGGTCAGGTCACATTACCACTGATTGGCCGTGATGGTTGCGGTCATTGAGTCATCGACCCTCCACTTCAAAAACACAGGGAACAAGGGGAAAATATTTCGTTACAAATTTCAAACTTTCTACCTTTTTTCTCAGATAACAGATACAAAATATTTATTGTGCAAACGTTCCATGCAGTGACAGTGACAATATGCTATAATATATATAAACATTTGCATGATTATTTCAAGATTACAATGCAACATACACAATTAAATACTTAGCCTGAGATTATCTAGAAGTGAATATTTCGAATGTACTTGTTTATATGATAGCTATATTTCTGTGCTACCCTGTTTGAAAACGGCTAGGTATATTTGAAGTATATTGTTTTAAAGGCATTTCATTTTTTAGGAAGAGAATTAAATATCGAGTGCCTTGCATCTGAATATTTACAGCAGAACATGAGACAGTGTTTTTTCATCTTCAAGGACAGAGCAGTGATAACACTGTAGGCGATCTTGATGTGTGTGCATGTAACGTGAGGTGTGGGTTTGCTTGCACTATCTATTTCAGAATCGTTGTATTATATACCAAAATAAACTTGGTAATCAATCTGTACACACGAGTATTGAAGTATTGAATGTAGTTTCAGGTCGCTAATGTGTCTGCAGCATAGAGAGTATATTGCTACCATTTCTCTGCCTATTGATCTTGTGTAATAACATTAGAAACGTTAAGCAACCGTAGTTGAATAAGTCTCTGTCTAGTGTTCGCGAATAAACTATTCATGATTCTACATTGTACATCTGGTTAGCATGTTAAATGACGAAAAGGCTTCATGAATTAAATGAGCCAGTTGGGTTGGGGTGGTCGTAGGGTGGAATAGGGACGGGTAGATATGGTTTCAGTGGAAGCAGGTAAGTGAGGCGGGTGCTGTGTGTAAAAGGAGTATGGGGGGTGGGTGGAGGCGGGTGCACACGGTGGGAAGTGGAACTGCGGTAGGTGGAGGTTCTTTACAGCTCTGCCTTCGTTCTGAGTTCGGTTCCCAATTTTCAGAAACTGTTGTGAAGCTTTTACTCAAGGAAACAACGTTGTTACCCGTTTGAGCAATATGATCGACACCGAGAGTTAGAACAACTTGTAGCATCCTTCCACAATGTTCTGCCATACGTCACTGAGTACCATGTGAAGTGGAATGAGAACAGTTTCGACAAGGCCCAAGCGCTGTTGTTTGTCACCATCAGTCCAACCACGTCATGTCATTGTTATATACATTTCATAATGATTTCAACATGGCAGTATTTCGGTGTGTTTTCGAGATCCCATGTGGTATGGCTCAACGGGATCAAGGTCTCCCTAAGGCTCACGTGAGCACGAGGGATGTGAGTGCGCACGCAATCAGGATAAAACGGCCGACTGAGGGACTGGGCATTAACATGCACACTTCTTCAGTGAACACGAACTGGTCGTGAAGTAACGGCATTTCAGAATCTTTTAAGTACGGTTAAGTCGCCTGATGGTTTACACATGAACGCCAAGCTTGAATAAAAATGAGAATCAGATATGGCAGTATCCTAATGGTATTGTGTACAACCATTAGAAATGTCAAAACGCTTTTTCACGATCATTAGGCACATAACCACTTAGACGACGCTAATGGGGCGCTTTTATGTGTTCCACTCGATACTAGGCTCTTTTAGATTTCATTTTATTTCCTGAAAAAAATAACATGACGGAGATTTTCTGCCAAGGATGATGTAAATCTTTAAATGGCGGTGATATCCGGAATATTTCTCAACAGACGCACACGGGGTGAGACAGTTGGGGCGACACCTGGCGGCGGAGGAATGTATTTAATGCATGACAATCCCGTGACTCGCAAGCTGTAATTGCTGTAGTATGTCATCCCAGACACATGTCGCAGCCCATCACGTCGCGTCTCGGAGCCGTCACTTGCCATCCTCATTTCCACCCCCAGCATCATAAGCTCGTGTCACTTGAGGCTCTGTCTCTCACCAACAGATGGAATCTTCACTCCATCACCAACCTTCTCGCCTTGCCTCATCCACACTCGACACGTCTTTTTCCTCAACTCTCCTAATAAGTTGAGTAGAGTTTTACGTCACCTCGACATTATTCCAGCCATATAGCGACGAGAACAAGTCTGCATTCAAACACATTTCAAGTACAAGTCCAAATGAGTTTTTTCAAAACATATATATTTCTTACATTATTGTTTACAAACAGAATATGTCATAGCACCAAATTCAAAAACAAGCAATCCGTCATTCACATTACATAGTTACAAGTTATGATACAGATTAATTTCCCCTAGTAGTTCAAAATGAGATGCCAGCTGACGCGGGAAAACAGGTCTTTCTGATTCCTTGCTTCATAATGGGAGTCCCTCGCAGTTGAAAAGTCCTAAACAGGAAGCAGAATATGCTTGATGGTGAACACTTCGTCGCAAGAGACACGAATAGTAGGTCCATCTCCATCCGTTTTCAGCAGATAGTCATGGGTAAACCGACTGTGGACAATACGACATCGTCATACAGTTATCTCATCACGTCTTGACTGAGAACCGAAGTTGGTATAACTTCTTGGTTTCAGTTCGTGAATTTTATTTCTTCCTACCTGGGTGTCACACCTCTTTTGCATGAGGTCATGGTATAACTTTTGACAGTGGGTTTGAAATCACTATATAGGATCAGTATTGAGGATAACGGTTTGTCAAGAGCTGATTTAGCTGCAGCATCGGCTTTTGTGTTACCTGCTATGCTGACGTGACCCGGCAACCAACAGAGGACGATTGTCACATTGGCCAGTAGAAAGATCGTTGTAGAGTTCTAAAATGTCTAGGATGATAGGGTGATTCGATATGACATTTTGAAGCGCTTGAAGGCAAGACAGAGAGTCCGTTAAAATGATGAAGTTCTTGGAATGGTTCTACTGTTTAATATAGGCCAGCGCTGTGAAGATCGCTTTGGCCTCAGCGGTGAAAATGGAACTATTGTCGGGAATTCTGGAGGAGACAGTCTTGGATCCAATGACTGTTGCACTGGCAACTTGTCCATCATCCTTGGATCAGTCTGTAGAAATGGACCTATAGGTGTTATACTTGGAATGTAACTGGTTGTATTCCTCCTGGAACACCAAAGGATTTGTTTCGGACTTTTTTAGTTTGGTGAGGGAAAGATCGACCTGTGGCTTCACTATCTGCCAGGGTGGGGAAGACAGAAGTCGGTAGGTGCTATAAGACACCACTCACCATCGTTATCCACAAAATCCCTTTTGGTTCCACTGTCCTCCACATCCAATCCCCATTTCACCCAAAAGTAATTCCAATACTTTAATTGAAACACTGGTCTTTAAAGTGATTTAAAACCAGACTCACATACAAACTTATTCGACATAACACTGTTTCCCAATTTGTCATTACTGACTCTCCATCACTACTCTCTTCCCAATCCTACTTAAACACAATAACGCCCCCTGTATAATAATAACTAATTTAAAAGCCATCCAGCTGCTTGATGTCATTGTACCAGAGCTGAAGCCACAGTGAACAAACCCGTAGCTAAATAAAACATATGTATGTGACCATTTAATATATCTAAATAATGACCTTAGTTCACAAACCATTAGTGAGTTGCGTCCATTAAGCCTGACACTATCAAGTAAACGTGGGTTCAAATTCTAGACTCGACCTGATTAACGATCTTCATGTATAAGCACCATTTCCCTGTACAGGATCAACACCACTTCAGTCCTTACTGCCCCTGTCTGAGATCATCATCACTTCAATCCTTACTCCCCCGCCTGAGACCAACACCACTTCACTTCTTACTCCCCCCGTCTGGGATCATCATCACTTCAATCCTTACTCCCCCGTCTGAGACCAACACCACTTCACTTCTTACCCCCGTCCCGTCTGGGATCATCATCACTTCAATCCTTACTCCCCCGTCTGAGACCCACATCACTTCAGTTCTTACTCCCCCCGTCTGGGATCATCATCACTTCAATTCTTACTCCCCCGTCTGCGACCCACATCACTTCAGTTCTTACTCCCCCCGTCTGGGATCATCATCACTTCAATCCTTACTCCCCCGTCTGCGACCCACATAACTTCAGTTCTTACTCCCCCCGTCTGGGATCATCATCACGTCAATCCTTACTCCCCCGTCTACGACCCACATCACTTCAGTTCTTACTCCCCCGTCTGGGATCATCATCACTTCAATCCTTACTCCCCCATCTGCGACCCACATCACTTCAGTCCTTTATCCCCATAAAGATATAAGTAAACTGAAAGGTTCACTCACATTCATTTGAAACTATTAAGGGGCTGCCTGCTAAACAACAACAAGAGGAGCGGGTCTTGAGCAATCACCGTCTCCTTCTCTTTAATTGTGCGTAACTAGAAAACACATCCGGGACAGCAAAACATTTGTCAAATCACGTAGACATGAAAATTCTCACGTTTTCACATTTTTAAAGGTGAAAAATTTAAGAGACGGCTTTTGTTTAACAAACCTCCCATGTTCACTACTTTGCCTGTCGGCATTGATAAAACGGCATCGCTCATCCTGGCTCTTTGTCTCAATTACTGCACTTGACACGTAATAAAAATGTCTAACGCGCGAGTTGGGAGGGGGTAACGTGTCAGATGTTGTCACCGCACAGCTGCAGCAGCCAGTGATGGAAGGACATCTTCGACGGGGATGAAAGTTGTACTCAGGTTGGAACGGTAAAGGTTCCCATCCCGTCGTGCTGACGTCACAAACACGCCATTTTTAATGTTTCTTTTCTATTTTCGCTGGAGAGGTAACTTGTTACGACATCTAATGTGCCGGATTTCACGTATCGCAATGCATATCCGGTCTTCAATTTCATTTGCGGGACACGCCTTGGCACATTGATTAACTAGGAAATCACAAAAGTCAGAGGTTACGGGCCTTGTGGTAGAGTGGTGGATACGGGGCATTGGTGACTCAGTCGTGTATGTTGTGTAGTGTTACGTCCCTTTGGGAAGCCGGAATCCTAGGTCGTGGGTTCGAATCCCAGATCCCTGTGAGTGTGTTACCATGTTCGCCAGCATCATGCACATACTTACTAGATTCACCCAAGATAGATGGATGTAAATTAAGTAGCCCCAGTGAGAGAGAGAGAGAGAGAGAGAGAGAGAGAGAGAGAGAGAGAGTAAATTAAGTAGCCCCAGTGAGAGAGAGAGAGAGAGAGAGAGAGAGAGAGAGGAGAGAGAGAGAGAGAGAGAGAGTAAATTAAGTAGCCCCAGTGAGAGAGAGAGAGAGAGACAGAGCCCCAGCCCCAGTGAGAGAGAGAGAGAGGGGGAGGGAGGGAGAGAGAGAGGAGAAAATTAAGTAGCCCAGTGAGAGAGATAGAGAGAGGGGTGGGGGCAGTTTTACAATATTAGCAGCTGCAGTCCAGTTCTCTGAAGGTATTATGAGAGCTACCATCCGATCCACGGAAAGTAATTTGAGAGCTATTATTCATCCCACCGTCACGTATCTAGGATTATATTTTCTTCGGCTACCATCCACAAACATACTGCTTATACACATGCAGTCCATATTAATATGGTTACATTATTTATAGCTATGTTATCACTGAAGATAAAGTATAATCCTGATGATACCGATCAGATGGATAATCAGAGATACACCCCAACTGACGTCAGCTGATCCAGGAGATCCGAAATGTCAATATTCCTATAAACCATCTTAACATAACATGGCGCCATTTGCTTATATCTGCAACATAAATTTGTCACTATTTTATGTTTCTATCATTCATGTATTCTAGAAGTTTGTGTAATAAATCGTCCTTCCGGGTAGTGTATCATATAATATATCATGTCATAATATAATTTGTATGTATATTATAGGTCGTTATATATCAATAAACCATGTGTCTGTCTGAAGTGTCGCTAACGCAACCAATAACATCTTTGTAGATATCACCGTGACGTATGGTGAGTTACACGGTCGTAGGTATCGGGGCACAGCGCTAGGAGCTAGCTCCAGGCTGAATAAGTTATAGTATCTAGCACCGTGAAACCCATTACTGCACACACTGTTTGAGCCTCGTCAAATATTGATGCCCACATCACTCTCACACGCTCAGGGATATTTCAGACACTATTTATTGACTTGATAACAGTTTAGACTTACTTTAATATTCCTCAGTGTTCGAGGCATATTCATAATTCAATCAAGCGTCCGATGCATTTTATCGAGACGCCGTAAACTTGGAGAGCTCAAGCAGGTGTATCTCGTGGTGACAAGATATCTGTTCGTGGCCGTTAAACAAACCTGGTTCATTTAAATCAGGACTATCTTATCTACATAATATAAAAGATTTACTCTACAAAGTTCTTATATCTGCCTCAAGAAAAAATACAATTTATGCATTTTATATGAATTGAGATATGCCTGGGTATTATTTTGATGGAGCGTACACCTGCTGCTTCTGATAAGGGTTCAGCGTGATTACAGTGTTTACGTCAAAACTTCGGAATGTAAAAATATGACATTTAGTGTTAGACCTATTTAATTCCCTTCACCCCGATGTAGATGTTTGTATCTGTTTGCTTAGAGACTTCATGTTTGTATAAAAACAGCAATGTTACGAACAGGCGCCATGCAAAATAGTTTGACATGCTTCAGTAGCTATTCCAAGTAAAGGTGGTCATCGTTAAATCTTCTCTTGTCGTCTATTCGCGTATCATGCATACCTTCATCCAAACTCCACAATACCACTCTGTACCTATACCCAGTCCGTTCTCCACCTATACCCCTACCCCATTCTCCAACTATACCCCCACGCAACTCTCCACCTATACCCCCACCCAAGTCTCCACCTATACCCCCACCCAGCTCTCCACCTATACCCCACCTAGCTCTCCACCTTTACCCCCATCCCACTCTCCACCTATACCCCATCCCACTCTCCACCTATAACCCCACCCAACTCTCCACCTATACCCCATTCCACTCTCCACCTATACCCCCATCCTGCTCTCCACCTATACCCCCACACCAACTTCTCCACCTATACCCCAAACCCACTCTTCTCCACCTGTACCCCCATCACCTACCTACTTCCACCTATACCCCCAATCCCACTTCCACCACTACCTTACTCCCCAACCCAATCTCCACCTATACCCCATCCCACTCTCCACCTATACCCCACCCAACTCTCCACTTATACCTCACCCAATCTCCACCTATACTCCATCCCAGCTCCACCTATACCCCTACCCAACTCTCCACCTACCCCCAACCCAGCTCTCCACCTATACCCCACCCTGTACTCCCTACTTTACCTATCTCCACCCCCCAAACCCACTCACCACCTATACCTACCAACTTCCACCTATACCTGATCCAATCTCCACCTTTACCTTTACCCCAACCCAACTTCCACCCATACCCCCATCCCACTCTCCACCCATACATTCCCACCCACTCTTCAGCTATACTCACCCAATCTCCACCTATACTCACCCGACTCTCCACGTATACCCACCTCAATCTCCACCTATACTCCACCCAGCTCTCCACCCATACTCCTACTCCTACTCTCCACCCATACCCTAAACCCAGTCTCCACCTATACCCCACCATCTTCCACCTATACCTGATCCAATCTCCACCTACCTGCACCCCCTACCCAAAGATATAAGTAAACTGAAAGGTTCCACTCCTATTAAGGGGCTGCCTGCCAATACCAACAATACCCAATCACCATCCTTCTTCTATTATTCCCACCGAAAACTCTCCACAATATACCTCCCAAATCACGTAACATCTCCACCACGTTACCTCTATCATTGAAAAATTTAGAGACGGCTTTTGTTTAACAAACCTCCCATGTGTTCACTACTTTGCCTGTCGGCATTGATAAAACCTCGCTCATCCTGGCACTTGTCCAATTGCTAGTACTTGACGTACGTAATAAAATGTCTAACGCGCGGAGTTGGGAGGGGTAACGTGTGTCCGATCTTGTCACCGCACATGTATGGCAGCCAGTGATGATACTCTTTTTGGAACAATTAAAAGATTCCATCCCGTCATGCTGACGTCACAAACCGGCATTTTAATGTTTTGCTATTTTCGCTGGAGGTTTCATTTACGACATCTAATTGCCAGTTTCACGTGTCGCAATGCATATCCAGTCTTCAGACTCATTTGCGGGTCACGCCTTGGCACATTGATTAACTAAGAATCACAAAGGAAAGTCAGAGGTTACGGGCCTTGTGTGTAGAGTGGTGGATACCACGGGGCATTGGTGACTCAGTCGTGTATGTTGTGTAGTGTACGTCCTTTGGGAGGCCGGAATCCTAGGTCGTGGGTTCCAGATCCCAGATCCCTGTAGGTGTGTTACCATGTTCGCCAGCATCGTGCACATGCCCTGGGTTCACAAGATAGATGGATGTAAATTAAAGTAGCCCCAGTAGGAGAGTAAATTAAGTAGCCCCAGTGAGAGAGATGAGAGAGGTCGATGGCCAATTAAGGGGTCGATGATTAAGTGTCCATCACATGTCCATTCCTTCCATCCATGCCTTCCGGTAGTTGGCTCTTCACCTTCCGTCCATTGTCTGGTCCCCACCATGCAGTCCATGTGTATCGTGTGTCCTGGGCCGTCTGTGGTACCACTCGGGTGTCCATGGTCCATGTCCATATTCCTCTCCTGCCTTTCCACTGTTGCTTCCTATCCGTGTGTCACGTCCTTCTGGTCCTTTCTGTCCGTTATTCCTGTGTCTGTCTCGTGTCCTTCTGTGTCATCTCCTGTGTATTGTGGGGATTCTGTGTCGGCTGGTGTCCTTGTCTGGTGCTTCACTGTTTGGCTTGGTCGGTCGGGTCGTCAGCTGTGTGGCTGTGCTTGGTATCTCGTGTTCCGTGTCCTTCGGTGTTCGGTTGATCCATGTCGGGTCGTGTGGGTCCTGTTCGTGTAGTTCGTTCAGGGTTCCTCTGTAGTGGTCGGTTCTCTCGGGTCCGTGGTCTGGTGTGTCCGGCTTCGGCTTCTCGTGTGGTGTGTTCCACTTGTTAGTGCTGGGTCTTTGTATCCTGTGTGTAGCTATTCCATTCATCTTCTCTTGTCGTCATTCCACGTGTCCATGCATATACCCCCCTGCGGTCGTTCTCCACCTATACCCCCCCACCTTCTCTCCACACCAGCTAGCCCCACCCAACTCACTCATCTCCACTGCATACCTCACATCCTCACACTCCACCTATACCCCCCACTCAATCTCCACTGTACCCACTGCCAAGTCGTCGCTCTTTCCCCACACCACTCTCCACCTATACCCCACCCTATTCATTTTCCACCCCACCTCCATGAATACCCACTCCCCATACCCCACCCAATATCCACCTATACCCCCACTGAACTTCTCCACCTATACCCCAACCCAACTCCTACACCTATACCCCTATCCCACCTCCACCTATATCCCCACCCAACTCTCCACCTATACCCCCATCCCACTCTCCACCTATAGTACCCCCATCCCACTCTCCACCTATACCCCCACCCAACTCTCCACCTATACCCCCACCCAACTCTCCACCTATACCCCCATCCCACCCTCCACCTATACCCCCATCCCACTCTCCACCTATATTCCCCTGCCAACTCTCCACCTATACCCCCATCCCACCCTCCACCCATACCCCCATCAAACTCTCCACCTATACCCCCATCCCACTTCCCCACCTATACCCCCCATCCCACTCTCCACCTATACCCCCACCCAACTCTCCACCTATACCCCCATCCCACTCTCCACCTATACCCCCATCCCACTCTCCACCTATACCCCCACCCAACTCTCCACCTATACCCCCAACCCAACCTCCACCTATACCCCCATCCCACTCTCCACCTATACCCCCCATCCCACTCTCCACCTATACCCCCAACCAACTCTCCACCTATACCCCCATCCCAATCTCCACCTATACCCCCCACCAAACCTCCACCTTTACCCCCACCCAACTCTCCACCCATACCCCCACCCAACACTCTACCTATACCCCCACCCAACTCCTCCACCTATACCCCCATCCCAGCTTCCACCCATACCCCCATCCCACTTCCACCTTATACCCCCAGGGCGGTGGGGTAGCCTAGCGCAGCCCAGTAGTTTGCCTGCTCGTCACGCCGAAGGCCCGTCTGATTCCCACATGGGTACAACTTGTAGAAGCCCATTTCTGGTGTCCCCTGCCGTGATATTGCTGGAATATTGCTAAAAACTATGTAAACCATACTCAGCCAGCCAGCCAGCCTATACCCCCATCCCACTTTCTACCTATACCCCCACCCAACTCTCCACCTATTCCCACCCAACTCTCTACCTATACCCCCATCCCACTTTTCCACCTATATCCCCACCCAACTCTCCACCTATACCCCCATCCCACTCTCTACCTATACCCCATCCCACTCTCTACCTATACCCCCACCCAACTCTCCACCTATACCCCCACCCAACTCTCCACCTATACCCCATCCCACTCTCAACCTGTACCCCATCCCACTTCCACCTATACCCATCCCACTCTCCACCTATACCCCCACCCAGCTCTCCACCTATACCAACCCAGCTCTCCACCTGTACCCCTACCCTACTTACCACCTATACCCCAAACCCACTCACCACCTATACCTACCAACTCTCCACCTATACCT